TTTATCAAAACTTGATATGGTAAACCAGATTTTTTTGCGGCTTTCTCCTGTTTCTCTCTCTATTTTTAAACCCCCTTTTCATCACCAAGGATTACGTTTAGGGCCCTTGGTGCTTTTCGCTCGCACCCTGTCGAAACCTCTATGCAAAAGCAAAATTTTCCCCCTCCTTATCCGATCCCCGTGATCCCCTTTTTCCCTGCGCTATATTTTCACTCTCATGATCTCCGCAATCCTTCCTTTTTATGAAGGGTTTCATGATATTAGTAGACATTTTTTTATTTGTTCGCCGCCCTTGCTTACTCCGTCCCTTCTTCTTCGCCTTCATTCGCTTTTGGGTTTTCCCCTTCAAACTAAAAAACCTTTCTATGTACATGTGCATTCATTTTTCCCCTTACCCCAAGGGGGAAAGTTCAGCTTTTTCGAGTCTGTTCTTTCTCCCCCCCTTTGCTGGGAAAACCCCAAAGTTTTAGGGGCCCTTTTCCCGCTCTCTTTTTCTTAAACCCCCTTTCATTTCTCATTCTCATGCCATTGCTTTTGAAACCAGATGGTCAAAGGGTCTTCGGACGGCGTAGGATTCGCAGCAGTGTTTCCGGACAGCGTCTACGAGGGCATTTACTACCCTTCAGCTAGTTTTTTACTGCGAATTATATGCCTTTCCCCTTAAACAGCACTTATCCGTATTGACTTGCCTGTTTTTCATCTTTTGTGGTTGTCTCAGACTCCCTTAGTGCTTTACAGGCTATACAAAAATTTGATACACCCCCACCCTTAGTCCTCCGTATCCAACTTTGGCTACCCCGCATCTTTACTAAGCAAAAAGGGGATATTGTTTTTTTTTGGGGGTCCCTGGTCATGTTGACGTACGGGGCAATGAACGGCCCCCCCCCCCCCTCCCGCGGGTCAGCAGTACATGCCCTCCCAGTTTCTTATAGGGTATTATGTAGGGGACTATTTTGCTGAAATATTTCCCCACCTTCCACCCCGTTGGCAAAAACCCGTTGGTCTACTATGTCGGCAACAAACTTCAGTCTTTTAAAAACCGAGTATAGGTTACGGGCCCCTTTCTTCTTATAAACCATTTGTCGAGGTTGGGAGACTATTTCTCCCCCGGGTCTTCGCTTTTGGCCATACTCTTACTCATGGATATCTCATGGAGGGGCGTCTTGCTCCTTTGGGGGAAAATTTTCCCAAAGGGCCTCCATTATCAGTCACCCAAATTCTTTTGGACTGCCCACTTTATCAACGAGCACGCAGGAAATTTACCTCTGTCGCGTCTTCCCCGCTGCCCCTCTCTTTCCCTTTCCCCTTCTCGTGATGGACCCACCTTTCACCCGGATCTTCTTTGGGATTTTTTTTGACAACGACTGATTATTTTCCCCAAATTTTGATACTTTCGGGCCCTTTTTCTATTGAATCTCTGCTCCCCTCTACCCCCGTACTATCCCCTCCCCCCGGGCCTTTTTTTCTGAAAAGGGGCTGATCATCCCCCCTCCCTTTGCCATCCAATTCCCTTGTTTTTCCTTCCCTACCCTCCCAGCGCTTTTATACCCTTGTGGCTTACCCGTTCTTTTTGATTTTTAATAATAATAATAATAATTTATTTTCCCTAGTCCATGAACCTGCTCCCCCCCCCCCCCCCCCGGGCCCCCTTCTTGATAACGCACCCTTTTCTGACCCCCCCCTCGTCTTTGGACCACTCTTCGGAAACCCCTCATCCCTTTCCGTCCCTCTTCCCGGTGCTGTTTCACCCGCTTCGGGTTTACTGGGGGCCCCTGGGGACTGACCCTTCGATTTATTGAACCTTCGCTTCCTCTGAAAATGCTTCCGGCCTCTCCCCTCTCGGTGCAGCAATTTTCGAATCCCCGGGGCCCATTCCACGTGGACCAACTCTGGTTTCCACGCTTTAAACGACAACAACAATTACCTGCTAGATTATTTTCTCCACCTTCTCGTTCTTTCAGAAAAGATCGACACACCCTTTCCACTCCCTTTTCCACGCTCAGTTTCGGGAATCCCAACCAATGGATTAAATTCTTCACTTTAGGGGACGACTTCCTACTGCCTATCTTTCTAAACCACGTTTTTGGAAAGGCACTCCTATCCCATTTTGGTAAAGTTATTTTTTTTCATGCTCTTAAGAGCGGAAAGCTCATCGTCCCGTACAAAATTGCTTCCCGGTCATGGCTTTTCTCGTCTTTCCCATATCGATATGTTCCTGTAACTATTGAAAAGCATCTTTCCCCTCAATTCTTTTTAAGGTGGTCCCGTCTTCTCCCCCCATACCATAGTTTCAAAAAAATTTTTCCAGACATGTGGCAGGGCCCATTCTTGAACAGCGGGAAACCCCAAGACCTCCCAACCCCTCTGGTAGCCCATTACGTTTTCCCTTTTGCCCGCGGGCGGGGGCGTCCCCTAGCAATGTGGCTCATTTAATTTTTTGACAGCCGTGAGCCCCCCTCCTCATTTTTGTTTTAGCAGGCATCGGTTACAAGTTGAAAGGTGACCCCTTTACACTGAAACAGTGTAGAAATTTGTGGCGTTTTGGGGCCCATCCAGGGGAAATATTGCAGATCTATCCCCAAATTTCCCCCAGTCTGTGGGGGGGGGCCGTTTTGGGGACCATTCTAATAGTCTTGAAATTCGACCCCCCTCTTGCCTTAATTGTCATGAGGCTCACCCTTCGTACTCCGCCGTTGTCAAGTCTATTTAAAATTGAGGGGGAAAAAACCCGGGTTACCTCAAAGGGGCAGAAGGTCCCCCTTATTTCCATGGGGAGTTTTTTCATCTCCGCCTCCAGGGAGACTAAATCGTGTTTTTATTTCGGGTTTCCCAAAAAATCCCCCCCCTTCTGGTTTTCCCCCTTCTGCAAACCCAAACCCCTGGGGGGTTACCTCTCCCATAGACTCTGTAGTAATTCTTTTGGGTGTCCTCGCCTCAGACGTCCCTCTTCAACGTCTCGCTGATTTGCTTCTTGTGTTCTCTCTCCAAGCCTCAGAGGCCCAGATTCGTTTTGGGGCACCTCCCCAATGTCCCTCTATTCTCAAAAATCAAAAAAAGGTCCCTTAAAACCTCCTACCCAAACTTCCCCCTCTTTTCCCCTTTCCCCGTCTCTGTACCTGGTTTTTCCCCCCCTCACTGGCTCCGTTACCCAAATGTAGAGGTTCACCCTCCTCCCC